GTATATATATATATATATATATATATATATATATATATATATATATACTTTACTTCCCTATTACGTATTGTGGTTTTTCACGATGGCTTGATTGTGGGAGAATTGATAATATTTGGATCATTTGGGAAACTTTTTACTTGATGATAGGTGAAGATGAGGATTAAACCATTTTTAGGTTTCTTATTTTTAGCTGGCCTTAGATAATTGGATTAAGGCTTGCATGATGATGAGTTACTTTGATTAGATATTGATTGAATTCCTTTTGGTTGTCAAATGGGTAGAGATTGTGAGAATTGGGAAACAGTAAGGACTCTGTGAATGCAAAAATAGAACACCATTCACTAAATGGAGTTTTATTTTTGTTACTATTTTAATATGCTGGTGTCAATTGTCTTTCTATGCTGACTCGTTAGTGTGAAATACAAATTCTCTAGCCCTATTGACTACTAAACACCGTGTGTGTGTGTGGTGGGGGGTGGGGGGGGGGAAATGGTCGTACATGTTTAAACTGTCACCTGTCACCTCTCGTCATATTATCTCTAGGTTGTGACAACTAGCTTCCCGCCCTAGGATTTTTTGCATTGTTTATTATATTTCTCTATCTTTCCTAATGGCATCTTTTGATTTTTTGAATTGCTCTTTTTTTAACTGGTTAAATTGATGGTTGGTAAATTGTGATGCCTACTTATGATTGTTTCTGTAATAGTAAGTCCTAGCTAGGTATCACTCCACACAACGTAATAATGCAAAGCCTGAAACTTCAATTATGCACGCTTATGTATTAGCTTTATTTGATAGGGGAATGCCCATAATTTTAGTTATGCGCGCTTATATATTATCTTGATCTGGTGGGCCTCGTCTAATCATAGAAAGCCTAAAACTTCAGTTATTTGCGCAATGTATTAACTTGATCTGGGTGAAAATGGATATGTTTTAAATGGCTCATTAGTGGTTGGAGTTTAGCTTGGGAAGAGATTTTTTAATCGTATTTTCATGTTGTGTTGTACTAGCATGCATCCAGGCCCCTGGGTAGGTTAGTCCTTTTTTGTCTACTTCTTTGATTTGTAAATGCGGTCAATTTCTTCTATTTCCTCAAGCAAATACTTTAAATTCCGCACTGAGAACTGAAAGGATTGACTGACCCAAAGTCTAATTTATTCTCCAGATTCAGAATATTACAGTTTCATATCCTTTCTCACTGTCTAGTACCTCTTTCATAATTATCTTCATCCTCCACAAATCACATACTATTGTATCACTAATTCAGCACCTGTTTAGCAGTTGTGTTATAAAGTGGTATGTCTTTCCTGTAAATGATTCAAAACCTCAACAACATCATTTTATATTGTCCAGGTTGAAGATATTAAGGTTGCTATTGAAGATGCTGGATTTGATGCAGAAGTTCTTCCTCCTGTTCATCTCAAAGTACCAAAATCTCAAGCCACTCTTGTAGGGCAGTTCAGAATTGGAGGTATGACTTGTGCAGCCTGTGTTAACTCAGTCGAAGGTATCTTGAGAAAACTTCCTGGTGTAAAACGAGCAGTTGTTGCCCTAGCCACCTCATCAGGGGAGGTTGAATATGATCCCAATGATATTACTAAGGATGAAATAGTTGAAGCCATCGAGGATGCTGGTTTTGATGCCTTATATATACAAAGCAATGAGGAAGATAAGGTTTCCTTTCGGGTTGCTGGGTTGTTTAGTGAGGTGGATGTACAGCACATAGATGGCATGCTTAAGAGCATAAAAGGAGTGAAACAATTTTTAGTCAACAGAAGCTTGGCAGAGCTGGAAATACTTTTTGATCCTCAAATCATACATTTGAGATCTATTGTAGATGCCCTTCAGAAAGGAAGCAATGGAAGATTCAAAGCTATTCTTCATAATCCTTACACAAGACTTGCTTCTAATGACATGGAAGAATCCATAAGTATGTTCCGGCTTTTCACATCCAGCCTGTTTCTCAGTGTGAGTATGGTGCCTCATGATATCTTCTTTCATTTGTTTTAAATACTCTTTGAGAATCCACAACCGAAGTGAACATTTCTGTTTTGTGCTTCTTGGTTGATATAGATATGGCTTTGGGTCATTTTTGCCGGAACAGCCTTTGTTCTCAAAACTTATGTTTTGTCATATTGATACTCTCAATTTGTGCTCAATAGGTGCCCGTGTTATTCATAGGGGTTATTTGCCCTCACATTCCTCTTATATATTCTCTACTAGTACGGCAATGTGGGCCCTTTCGGATAAGTGACTGGTTGAAGTGGGCATTGGTGACTCCTGTTCAGTTTATTATTGGAAAACGCTTTTATCTGGCTGCCTACCGAGCACTGCGAAACAGATCGACTAACATGGATGTATTGGTTGCACTTGGAACTTCAGCCTCTTACTTTTATTCAGTGTATGCACTTCTTTCTGGTGCACTCACCGGGTTCTGGTCCCCTACCTACTTCGAGACAAGCGCTATGCTGATAACATTCGTGTTGTTTGGAAAGTATTTGGAGGTTGTTGCAAAAGGAAAGACTTCAGATGCTATAAGGAAGCTCATGGAACTTGCTCCATCGACAGCTTTGCTGCTTGTCATTGATGCAGGTTGGCTTAATTTCGCAATAGAAATATTCTTATATATGTATCACATTTCAGTACCATGAACTTACTAGTAGCAGCAGTAAAACTGTTTTTGTGTTTTCGTGGTTCAATATGCTTCTCTTCTACTGTTGTCTCGAGAATCTTAAATATTATTGTTTATTTAAATTATGTAATTCCTTTGCTCTGATTTCAGAAGGAAAATGTGTTGAAGAACGAGAGATAGATGCATTGCTTATCCATCCAGGTGACATCCTGAAAGTTCTCCCAGGTTCCAAGGTTCCTGCTGATGGTGTTGTTGCATGGGGCTCTAGTCATGTCAATGAAAGTATGATTACTGGGGAATCTTCCCTTATTTTGAAAGAGGTGGACTCATCAGTTATTGGAGGAACTATGAACTTACATGGTGTCCTTCACATAAAAGCAACTAAAGTGGGATCTAATACCGTTTTGAATCAAATAATTTCCCTCGTTGAGACAGCCCAGTTATCAAAAGCTCCTATACAGAAGTTTGCTGATTTTGTGAGTTCTAGCATTTCATTAAGAAAACAAATTTAAGTTGCGTTCTGCCCAATGCTAAATATTGTGACATAAAATGAATGGTTCCTGCTACTAATTATTGAATACAACTTGGCAAATTATTGACTATGGGGATATGTGAGTTGCTGACTCTTAGAATGGATGCTAATAGAGAATGACTTTGATTTCTAGGACCAATTACAGTCTTTTTTTGACATAATAGGTATGACTATGAGATAACTAGGTAGAATATAATTCATTGTCCTTATGGAAATATGAAAGGGTTCTCCAACTGTTCAATGCCTGTTATAACCATTTCGTGTGTTGATGCTTCCTATTGCCTTATTTTAGTACTGTGCACTAATTTATTTATTTATTTTCCTTTTCCATTGAATACTTAGTAAAAACTTAGAATTTCAACACCTTAACATTGTATCAATTCTTTCTTAAAACAGGTGTGTTACAATTCACACCCACTATGCAAATGACACTATGTATTTAGCAGTCTTCTGCTCTCAACATCTCTGGTCAGTTATCCGCATGATAGGCTTAGCCTTGCCATATTTTAGTCACAACCCAAGGCATGAGGAATATACATGATGCAAGTAAGATAAGAGCAAGAATATCATCTGACAAGATGGTCTACATACAGCTTCCTCCTACACAGAGTCTGCTACTCCTCACATAACTATTCTACTAAAAGAATCATGATTGATTACAGAAACTATATGTAACATTATGCAAAATGTGTGGTCCTATTCTACTTACCAATAAATAATCTGGTCCTAATTTAAGTATGCTGTTTGAATCTTTTTCTTTTCATCTGATATATAACCTGGGATATCAATCTTGGATGCTGTGTTGTGGTTCTTGTGCCTTAACTACCATGCCAAGAGGCTGAACCACAAGCATGCTGGTTCAATCTTTGTTTGAGTAGCCTTGTGAATCATATGCCCTAACAACCATGCCTAGAGGCTGAACCCATGGTATGCTTGTTTAGTAGTGGTTCTCATATCCATGCCCCTATGGTGACATTCTTCTCAGAATTCACAATCCTCTTTCTTGAAGGACTGGTTGTCACTGTCTTGATCATGAGGGATCATGATTTGGGCCCTTATTTTCAAGATAGTAAAACTTTTAAATTCCAACTAAGGACTGTAATTCTCAACGAATGTAATTGAGATTGAGTATCTATTGGGTTTTGTCATCATCATCATCGTTCGAGCCTCATCCCAACCATTTAGAGTGAACTATCTATTGGGTTTTATCCATTATGGAAAATAATATTAATAATAATAATTTGATTGTTTTATTCGATTACTAGCAATTTACGCTAGTTATCTAAATAAAAGAAAGTTGGTCTTTTCACGAGAAAATAGTAGGTGCCATTTTAGGTTTTTTTTTATTTTAATAAGTGTCATTTTAGTATTTTGCGTAGTTCTTTTTTCTTTTTCTTTTTTATTTACTAGATTATTTTGCTTGTACCGTGGTGCATGTAGTTCATAGATGACATAGTTTTGATTGTTGAGACCCGAAACGGTGTAAACACATTAGAATTTTTGAGGGATGCTCTAGAAAAAGGTTCTAAAATTAGCCGGACAAGGTCGGAGTATATGGAATGCAAGTTTAGTAATAATAGGAGTAGAGATGATGAAGTAGTTAAAGATTGACGGTCAGGAAATACTAAATAGACTGCACTTTCGATATCTTGGGTTGATAATTCAGGAAAATAGAGAGATTGAGGAAGATATCGCACATAGAATTGGAGCTAGGTGAGTGAAGTGGAGATGTGCAACCAGAATTTTATGTGATCGCTCCATACCAATGAAGATGGCCAAGTTTTATAGGACAGCTGTGAGATTA